TGTTTATAAAAAACTATAAATTCACTTTCATTATTTTGAACAACAATAATTTCTTCACGATTTTCAATGGCATCTTCATAATAGGCGACTTGATCGAAATTTGTTAAACGTATAGCGCAAAACTTCCCAATGCCTTTCTCAATTTTATTATGTGAAACTATCTTTTTTAAAATCCCATTGTTGTTCGTATTTCCTTGCAATTTTGAATAGTCAGTTATTTCTGTTATTTGAATTAATCTTTGCGATTTTGTTACAGTGTTTACAAGACTTTCTAAATGATTACAATAAGTACCTAAAATATCACTTTTCTGAATCAACTGTTTAGATAGGGGACTATCGACATCTATACGCCTTTGCTGTAAAAGTGCTTGTATAGATGTTAGCACAGCCATTTCTTCACTTAGAATTTCAAGTGCTCTACGAAATGATCTAACAGCTGCATTTTTATAATCTAACTCTTGTTTGTTCGGGACTAAAATTCTTCCTTTACCTTTTAATAAAAGCCATCCTATTCCAACAAAAGCAGCTGCACAATGATCTGAATCAAGTTCTTTAGCTCGCTCGAAATGTTTCATTGCTTCATTATATTTACTATCCGAGAAAATATCATTGATAGTTATATTGTTAGCAATGATAACATGATAATATGGGTTTTTAATGATACGGTCATTTTCGTAATCCTCAATAATTCTTTTACTAAATTCCACGAAACTTTCACGTACTTTTTCGACGTCAATAGAGGTTTTCTTTTCATCGTGTTTACGTAAAAACATTGCCCATTGTTCTTCAATACTAAGAAGTATGTTAGACTCATAAATGGAAGGAGTGACATTTTTAGTTATGCGTTTAATTTTATTTTTTAATGTGGAAACCAGACTACCTTTTGCTCTAATTTTTTGTCGTATTTCATTTAATAAAGAGCATAATCTCTGGAAAAGTTCATCTTTTAAATTAATTATTTTTAACTCAGAATTTTCAAATTCGTTTAATATCTCCGCTTCAATTTTATCTCTTAGCTCCGTGATTTTCTGCGCATCAAATTCCTTATAATGGACTAAATTCGTAGCATTTAATATTTTTTGACTTGTACCTCGTTTACCTTGTCGTGAAGTTCTACCAAATGCCTGTTTTTCAACACGCTTATTCAATGGCATAAATGTTACAATGACATGAAGACCACCGTGCTTTTCTATTTCATCAGTTTTTATATCTGTACCCCGTCCTGCTAGATTAGTAGCAACAAATATTTCTCCAGGATATATGATTTCTATATTCTGCTCTTGATTCATATTATTCATTGTGTAAAGTTTTATCGCACTCGAACGATATCGTTGTTGAAGTTGTTCTCCTATGATTTTACAATCTTCAATAGTCTCACAGATAATCAAAGTTCCTCTGTCTTTACTCGATTCGTTCATTGCTGAATGACAGATTTCTTTTAACCAATCAAATTCATTACTTACTACAATATCTGGAAAAGAGAGATGTTGTTTTCGACGTAAAGTAGGAATAATAACTAAATCGACCTTATAAATATCAGATAATACTCTTTTAGCTCTTTCCGAACCTAGTGTTCCTGTAAGACCAAATAAATTCTTACCATATCTCGTGAAATATCCTATATTAGATAGAAAATTCGTAGTAAAAGTTTCTGATGTCATTTTTAGATTATGTTTTATTTGTAAAAATTGATGTAATCCGTCACTCCAATTCGAAGAACTCTGCACTATTCCTGTGCTATCATAGTCGACTGGATGAATCAAGCCTTCACGTAATATATAACGTACATTTTCCTGATAATGGAAAGCAGTAATAGCATTTTCAATCCATTTAGGTATCTGCATGGAAATAAAATCTAGAAAATGTTTTGGTATTTTAATATTTTTCACAATAAATGATCTAATATAATTTTCAAGATGTTTTTTCATAAATGAATCGGATTCATCTTCTGGGATTAATTCACCTATATGACCTATATCTGATATAGATGTTAAGTAACTTTTCAAATCCGAAATTACAACTGTATCTCTTTGTTCATTTTCATATTCTAAAAGAAATTTTCCATCTTTAAATTTAATCGTTCCGTAAAATAAATACCATTTATTTTCTATTTCAATAATTTTCTCTTGCAAGAAAAGAAATCGATTCCATAATAAATGATAAATTATTTGTAATTGATCCATACCAGATATAGCTGTTGCTAGTCTAGCAATCTTGGAACTGTCATCAATAAGCATACTATCTACTTCATCAACTATAGCAACTTCACATTTTCTTTCTCCTAAAGTATCAAGTTGGGCATATTCTGTTCTTAGAATATCAAATTGAAATTGTGCTGCTTCACCATAAACTATTTGTTTTTTGTAACAGGTTTTCGGACCTGATATATAAACTGCTTTATCATTATTATTACTACAACTAAGACCAAACATACTGTAGAATTTCGCCTTTTCTCTTGCGTCTCTTTCTGCAAGTACTGGTGAACTAGTTATAATATCTACAGTTTTACCATGTAAAACGTAAAATACAGCTAATACACTAATAATTGTGGATTTACCTTCACCCGTTGCAATCTGTAATAGTCTTCCTTGATTATCACTCGGCTTTAAAGCAAGTAAACAACTTAAAATTTGAGCATTTGTTAGATGGAATCCGGTGTCCAAATAAGTCGCTCGTTTTATTACTGTTAAAGCTTCTATTATGAAATCTTCCTTATTTTCACAAATCTCAGTATCTTTTTTTACTTTCTCTGCCCATTTCTTTATGTCTTCTCGTGTCCACTGAGTAATAAGATGCGAAGTAAATGAAGAAAATCCATCTGTACCTCTTTCACTGGACAATGAAGAAATCGACGATGGATTATTAATTCTTTCTATCCATTCTCGCAGTTTACTTTCAGTTAAATGCGCTATATTTTGATTATGAGAATTTTGAGTCTTCAGTTCTTTGATTAATTCTTCTGTATTTTTCTCTTGACTTTTATCAGAAAAAATGTTTTCAATTGCAATTTTATTAATTTCTCTTTGCCAATGTTCTGCTGGATTCTTTAAAGCTAACAATAGTTTTTTCTTATCCGTTGAAGGAATTTTATAATCTGATAAGATTTCCAGTACACACATAAAGTACTGGTTTCTTTTATGATTATTCGACTCTCTAAAAATTTCAAATAAACCATTTAGCTCATCAAATGTCCATCTTTGATCTAATAATCTATCTAGATGAGTACTTAATTTAAGTTTATCAACATTTTTTAGTTGATTACCTAGGAATTTTATCTCTAATGACCTTTTAAATATTGAAATAGTTGCATTCTTAACATAGATATCAGATATTTTAATACTATTTCTTTGAGAAAAAGCTACCAGATGATCAAGTTCTCCTAAATTGACAATACTCTCTAATGCTTCTAAGATTTTCTGACTAATATCAAAGCCTAATTTCGATATCATAGTACTGGCTAAATTTTTAATATATTCAGGTCTGATCTCATCTCTGTTGGATAAAAGCTTAGTTATAATAATGGTTAAATACTTTGTATTGAAATCAATCAGTGGATTCTTACTATTTACTAAAATATCATGAACACTTTCAAAATCAATTTCCTTAATAGCTTTTATTGCCTGATAACAATCATTAAACAATATGCTATTATTATTTATTAGACAACGATGCAATAATTTTAATAATACATTACTTTGGCCATTCCTATATCCTTCCAGTTCTTCAATATGCAACCAAGCCTGATAAAGCTGAAATCGTTCTCCTTCGCTTATGTGAAATCTTTCTATTAAATCGAATATCAACAATTCTCTAGACCATTGTTTTTTTGGCTTGTCATATATTTTAGTAAAATCAATGAACTTCAATGAAGTTATAGTTTCGCATAACTCTAAATCGAAATCAACTTCAATCTTTGTCTTTTCTTTCAGCAACTCAATTATAATATCACACCATTCTTTAAATATTTCAGAGTGCGAACCTTTCTCATAGGCTGCTCTCAAACCTCTAAATGACCAACTACGAATCATCTCATTATCATGAGAAAGATTATTTTCTAAGTGTTTTAATTCTGAGCTCGTTATATATTCAGATGCTAGAGCAATACATACAAGAATATCAAAAGAGAGTTCTACAAAGTTCTTATCCTGATTCAATATGTCTATAAAAACGTTGAGTACTTTAGAAAAATTATTAGTTTGGCATCGTTTTCGTTTGATAATTTCTTTGTATGCATTAAGAATATTCTGATTTATCATTTTAGACATAATCGCTTTCTCTAAATTGTCAATGATCATTTGATTTGAACAGAAATCAGAGTCTTGTACGAGAACTAATGCATAGATATCGATTAATTTTTGTTTTAATTCTAAACTATCTTCAATATCATTTTCAGAAATGCTTAATGAAAGTAAGTGTTGAATGGAGGGCTTAGACAAGTTCTGATATTTGTCGAAATCTTTCTGCATATCAGTTAATATTTCACTAAGGGCTGTTGGATCGATATTTTTCGTTAGATCAATATCCGAATGTATTACTTTTATTTTAATTTGTATTTCTTCTGAAAACGTTTGATTTTTAGATATTAAATTTAATATATTTCTTGACTTTTCTTTTTCGTCTTGGTCAAGAACAAGCATTATAATGTTATCTGTAACAGTTCGACCTATTTCAGCCATTTCACTTATTAGTTGACAGCATAATGATCTGATGTTTTTCGAGTTCGTACTTTCTAATAAAAGTGCAATATCACTTAATAAACTATCTGTAATGTTTTGTTTATTTGAACAACTCAGTAAGATTTCTAGAGCTTTGACTTTTAAATGTGAATCCTTATTAAGGATCGAGCTGATTTTTTCAAAGTTTTGTGCCAATAGTCTAGGATTGTGGAACTTAGCTAACTCATCTATGAATTGATCATCTGAGCCATCTTTTAGATAAGCGAGATTATATGCCATTTCTTCGTCATCTTCTAATTTAGAATCCTTTAATAGCAATCTAATCTCTTCTTTCATACTTTCATCACAAATGGCATTTGTTGCTAGACTTAACAGAATTACTATAGTTTCTTTTTCAAGTTCAACTTCATACAGCGACTTGAGTGTTTTAAATCCACTAAGACTTTCACGTATAACATCTTGATTATTTGTCTTAAGAGCATGACTTAAAGCTTTTTGAGTAGGAGAAATTATACATGTATTGGACGTTCTATCATTTATTTTACAAGAAGGATTTCGTGTGTGACAGTTGTAACAATCTTTCTGTTCAACAACGGAACGCATAACAGGCAAATATTGTTTCATTATCGATGGGTTCTTTAAGGTCAAAAATTTATTAAGAATTTTATGAATGATCTCTTCGGGTAGATTTTTACCTTTTTGTCCCTGCAGTAAGAAAATATACAATGCTTGGTCACTAACTATTGGATTATCTAGAGCTAGTCTTAATTTACTTAAAAATTCCTCCGATACATTCTGATTATTTTTAACTAAATTTTCGAATATTTCAATTAAATTAGGTTGAACACGTTTCGGATCAAATTTTTTCGCAAGTTTATCAATTAAATCATTGGGTAACATTTGTCCATTCTTTGAAACGTTTAATAAGATTGTCAAGATATTTTCATTATGTATAAACTGCTTGCCTGAGACTAGTTCACTTAATGCTCGAAAAACATTTATCGTTATTCTTTTCCCTTTCGTTGTCTCTTCACGTAAATAAGTGGTAGCGTCATGAGTATCAGGTGTCTGTCGACTGATAGTGAGACTTGCTCTTTCTAATTCCATTATGTCAAATATTTCTTCTGATACATCTTGATTATCATTAGCCTTATCTAAAATATGAAATGATTGGTTTCGTAATATCTCATTGTCTAAGCGATAAAAGTTATCAGCGATAATAGGTAAAATTTTTTCACCAATGATTTGTTCGTTATAAGTTATGTTTTCAAATAATTGTAAGATTTCTTTTAAAAATTTAGGCATACCAGCGACATTCTCTAACGCAGCTATTGTACTGTCCTGAATAAGATATTTATTTGCTGAGTATTTAGTAAGGATTTCGATTGCCCGAAGTACATAAGGACTTTCAAACAAAAAAATATGATCGAAAATTCGAAAAATATTCTCTTCAAATAGATGATTTGCTGCTACGTTCCATAATGTAGATAAAATATTTCTGTTAACTACATCAGTAAAGTCTTCTTCTTCTAATTGTAATTCTTCAAATGCATAAACATTGGATAAAAAATCAATATGACTTGTCATGATAGGTTGCCCGGCTGATGATAATTTCTCTAAACCTTGAGTATAAGCAACTGTCGAGTAGAGAGAAACATCAGATATACTATTACCTACATGTTCTTTTAGTGCTACTAAAAAATTATTTTTAATACATTGAGCTTTTGAGACCAAATATAATGATTTTGCCGATAAAATACAAGTTTGCTTGTTGTTACTATTGAGTGCCTTAACAAGATTTTCAATGCTTTCATCGTTTACTCGAACATTCTTTTGCAAAGAATTAACAAAAATTCGAGCGACTATCAATGATATTGATTGACAATCACTATTTTCCTGCGAGCTGTTTTCAAAATTAATGTCAATTCCACCCCCACCTATGACCTCGTCCTTTAATAATTTTGCTGATAAATCATCAATATTTTTTATCTCCTTTAGTTTAGAAAGAATTTCTATAACTAGTACAACAAAATTATCAAGTTTATCGTTACCTTTATTAATATTTCTAAAAAGAGTTTCTATTATGAATTCAGGTATATCTTTATTTCTTTTAACAGTGAGAAGTACTGAATTCAATGCTTCGATTTTTAAATCCTCGCTACACTGTGAATCATCTAGTAAATGACTATAATTTTTAAGATGAATTTCGTTCAAACCAATAGTCTCACTACATTCGAGATAGTTATTAATGATCATAGAAGCATCTTTTTTTATCGCTTCTTTCAAATTAGTCTTAGCAAATAAATTGCTAATTTTCGTTATTGTGTCTTCATTAAATAATTCTTTACACCTTGTCTCATCCTTGCTCTGCTCAACGATGTAGCTTATTGACTGATCAATATTTCCACCTTTTCCTATTTGCTCTAAACATTCTTTGAACAATTTCATGTAGTCTATACACCCATATCGGTCGTATTTTGCTAATAATTTAATTCGACAGTTTATGAATTCATTGTCATCATCTGCTTTAACTTCATGAATATGCTTTATCTGTTCATTGCTTAATATTGTCGTATTCCGTATCGTACAATTATAAATCGCTGATATTGCTGCAAGTCTTATTTTTTTGAATTCAAACAAAATAATTTCTTTACCTTTTTCTTCATCTATGTCAGATATTTCGTTTTTAATTTGCAAAAAGTCTGATAGAAAATTATCTTGTTTTATAGATTTGAATTGTTCTTCGATATTTCTTTTCCATTCAAATCCATTAAAAGCTTCTTCTCCTAACTCATCTAGATTATTTACGCATTTCGTAAGTAAATTTATTATGTTATCGGTTAACATTTGCTTTTTTGATACTTCAAGAAATATATCAACAATCATGCTATCTATAACTAATTTTTTTAAGCAGCCTGCAGAACCACCTGCAAACCATTTTTCGTCAGCTCTCAATAATTTTGATGATAAGTATTTTTCTTTGTCATCTCTTTTTATTGTCTTTCCACTTTTTGCTCTTTTATAAAAGTACAAAACCTCATCAAAAGTAGGACGAAAAATCGATTTATCACTTCCATTCTCTTCCGGTACGATTGGAAGAATCTCTTTATTCGAGTTCGTTGCGTTGTGTTTCTTTCTATTTCTAGAAAAACCAACTAATTTTAATGTATTAGTTAATTCATCGTACTGACTATTTTTAGATTTCGCTTTAACTGTTTGCTGAATTTTTGTTACTGATGCCTGTGTCGCCTGTTTAGAGTAATTTACTGAGATTTTTATTTTTCTTTGAGTTTTCTGTCGATAAATCGTGTCATTGACATAGTACTGATTTTTAATTTGTTCATTCAAGAAATATGTGGACTCGGCACTAACTTCAGTTTCTTTTTCTATAATACTCTTAATCTGATTTACTAAGTTTCCATCTATTAATTTATCAGGATTTTTACAATGAAACTCCTTAATTTGATAACCTAAGGCCCATAGGATCTCGGATTTTACACTAGGAGAATCATTGCTTTGTAGTGCCGTTATAAGCTCTTCAAGTTTCATATGAAGATCTCCTTTTTTGATGGAATATTTCATAGCCTGAGCAAGACATAATTTGATATGTTCATCAACTTTATCAGATATCAAGTCATTATACACTTGGTTCCATTTATGCTTTGGTAGGCCATGCTTACGTGCAATGTACTTTATGGCAACTGATACCGACAAATGAAATTTTTCATCTAGTTTATAACCTTCATTGAGTTTGTCGAGAACAGATTTCTTGTTAAAGCTCTTGTATTGCTGGGAGAACTCTCTGACAATTTTCTCGCGCTGTTTCTCTATGGATTTCCTCTTGTCAATTCTCTTCTTTAGGATCTGAAGAGCAACATTGAACAAAAAAAATAATCCAGAGAAAACAAACGAAATAAGAAAAATCATTAATCTCACCATCATATAACTCTTCTGTTACCGATTGAAGTCAAAAGTTGTGAAAAATATAACGACGCTTGAGCTGAGTGATATTTAATGACAGTACCACTAATGTTGTAGACGTGATTTTATTTTTATCTTTATCTACAATATAAAACATAGAAAAATAATTTCAGAACATAATAAATGCGGAAACTTCGGATTTTATCCGAGAGTTATGTGTGCTACAAAAAGTGAATGAGACAGATGAGTCATTCTAGAATGTCTCGACACCAAAATTATCATGAGAAATCTTTTCTATAAACACGATTTCTATTCACTCTTGCTCATCCAAAATGATTTGGGATCGAATAGAGCTCAGATTTGAACTCTGCCTTCGTTTACCCTAAGAAAATCATTTTTCTCATAAGTTGATTTTGATTGGTTACGGCTCAACCAATGGGGTTTCGAAGCAAATGGAGTACAGATACAAGTTCTCTGACCCAGAAAACCTCGAAGTAACATATCTCTGATCCGAAGATAGAGCTCTAATGATGGGTCAATGAGAGTATTGACAACATTGGAACCACTTCCTCCTTAATTATGTTTGCCTTATAGATGACTCAATCTTCTTATTCCTGTACACATTAGATACGATTTTGTGGCCTGTAAAATTTTCTATCAAATGGTGTATAAAAAGTGGGGTTTTATTCGACTCTGCTAGAAAAGTTTCTTACGAAAGCGACGATATATCGATCTTCCCATAGAAAATCATACGGAAAAATTCGTATTTTTGCAGTAACTCCGGAAAGACTCCTCCAGTCAGGCTCATCTTTGAACTCAATCGAGACATTGATGAGATTGGACTATGTGGAAAATTTCATCACGATCTGACTCTCCTTTCGAAATTTATCGTATAAACGGCCGGACGGGCTCACTGACCGATTCTAGAAGTGTACTCACTTTTTGAGTACACTAAAAAATGAAGAAATCTAAGCCAGAACAACACATACAACTGGAGATAGCCGTCTTATCCGATCGGAATTATTAGTAGTGGATATCTACTGGAATTTACTGGGTGTCAGATAGTCTCGGAATGATTGTTGTCTCTGTCGGAACCCGGCAGTCTGACACTTCCAACATTCGAGCAACTTCTGTCAGAATTCAGTACCAAGGATTCAGAGGGTGTGGGTGTGGAGTGTTGATAAAATAAGAAAAACACCAACACGCACAGCGACCTACATCCGGTAGAATACCGTAAATAAAAAGGCTGTTTTTTTGTGGGTTGGGTGGAAAAGGGTGTGGGTTCGGGTGGCTTTTTGTCTTCAGTCACGTCCATACTCTCGCTCGTATGCTCTGCTATTACTGGCCTACTCTTATAGTAAATGTTGTACTGCTTCTTTCCTTTAGTGTCATTACGTGTTCATAATCTTGTCAGGACTTTCACTCATGATACATCATTCTCGGTATGTTGTTTACAGTTTTCAGTCAGGATTCTTTGATTCATTGAACACGGGATGCTTGACTCAGTAGTGTGGGTGTGGAGTGTGAGTGTCAAGAAAGGATATAAAACCCACATCCATACCCATATTCACACCCACTCACAACCTGAAATAGATAAGAAGATGCAATAAATGTTGGTATAAGAAACTGAAAATTTCGTTATATGGCACCATACTTTTATTTTTAATGAAATATCCCGCCAGAATCCGATGTATCTCGAGGAAAATAAAAGAAAATGCGATAAGAAATAATTTTATTCAAGCAATTGGATGACTCTTAGTAGAAGTGGAAGTGAGGAGCAGACATCGAAATTCCAGACGCATACTCATATTTTGAAACATGTACTGCACACGAGGGCTCGAAACGGGTCGCCCAGGCCATGTTAGGCGGGCCTGGTCCAAGCCAACGAGTCTTTCCTCCTGGATCTGGCAGGCCAATTAAGAAGGACCAGCGGGCCGGGCTGGCCAATGATTTTGTTGGACGGCCCGGTCCGGCAAATCTTGTTTTCATAAATCTTGTGGATGTGATTTGGTTCAGAAATTATTATAAAGTATACCTATATAGCAGAAAGCCGAAACTATCGAAATGTATCTTTTCGGCATTTATTTTACCATGGAATTTATTGATTGGCGAATTATTAAATATAATGATATATCAGTTTACTTACACCCATACTAACATGAATATGTATACATACTCACACATGCCCTCAACCACTTAATATACTGACTTAATTAATGCATTGCATCTCTCTCACTATACTAAAGAACTTACTAATAAGTGTCAATAAATTCACATCAACTAAGTTCCCATAGTTGCTAATGCTTTATCTTATTCTACACCTATAGTAGCATCTTTCTCTGTGCTGCATGCTAATTTCTTCTTTATACTACATTAATGGTCTAATTCTATTAAATTCATCGGTAACTCATGGTATTAGCTATGCGTACTCGAGTGCATATAGCCACTACCATAAATTATTGATGTACCATGGAAATTTCCCTTGAAACATAACTTTTATTTTATAATTATTTCTGCGAAAGATCGTTTAAAACAATTTCGTTGGGCCTATACCGGGCCGGGCCGGATAGGCCGGCAAATTTGATGGGCCGGGCCAGGCAGGCCGAAGACATAATTAGTTGGGCCAGGTCGGGCAGCTAATTTGGGGGCCTGTTGTGGGCTGGACCGGGCCAGAAACTAGTGGCCCATTTCGAGCCCTGCTGCACACATATCTCACACCGATATCGACGCAATACTCACCAATACAGGATGTGACTGTGCATTAGAGGCCATCGGGTCCAAAATTTTTGGACTCGAGCCCGGTGTAGAATTTCTTTTTAGATCCAGACCCAGACCCGGCGTAAAACTCTTTCGTGGACTCGGGCCCAGTGTAAAAAATTATTCCTAGAGCCGAACCCAGTGAAAAACGTTTTATTGGATCAGAACCCAGACCTGTTGCAAAAGCTTTTTTGGAGACGGGTTCGAGTCTTCCAAATAGCTGAATAAAATGTTGATGTTATGAAGCAGATATTCTAATGGAAATCGTATGGACACTTGCAAACAGATTTCTTTGCTTATCAGTATTCGATGACTGGTACCGGAGCCCGTCGAGTCTAAGATTTTGGATCCGGATCCGGACCCTGACCCGGTGTAAAAAGGTTTTTTACTACTGGGCTCGACCGGATCCGGGTCTTACCCGATGGGTTCTAGTGTACATGCCAGTACTTTTCTTAGTATACTCATATCTGTACCCATACTCCTGGAAAGGTACCCTATCGCCGTGCAGGAAAAGTCAAGTAGATTTGGATATATTCAGATCAAAGGTTTGCATGAACGAATGACTGTAGATTATTATG